CCTTTCCCGGCAGAAAAGGTTTGGCTTCTACCGACCGACAGCTTTCGCTATCGCCAATGCCATCACCGATATCCCTATCGTCTTGGTTCAGGTGTCTTGTTTCTCCTTGATTTTGTACTTCATGAGTGCGATGCAGATGGACGCGGGCCGCTTCTTCACGTACTGGATCATCATTATCGTACAAACGCTGTGCTTCATGCAAATGTTCCGTGCGATTGGTGCCCTGTGCAAACAGTTTGGTAATGCGTCCAAGATGACCGGATTTCTGTCAACTGTCTTTTTCGTCTACGGAGGTTCGTTGTGTCAAAGTCAACTATGTTGGATTTATACTAATCCAAACAGGATATCTTATTCCTTTTGAGAAGATGCATGTCTGGTTCCGTTGGATATTCTATCTGAACCCGGGTGCATATGCCTTTGAGGCGCTAATGGCCAATGAGTTTACCGGCCTCGAACTTGACTGTGTCGAGCCTGACTATATCCCATATGGGTCGGGCTACCCCAGCGGCTCTTCCCCTTACCGCGGCTGCACTGTCAAGGGCAGCAATTCGGAAGGTGTCATTGACGGTGCCACTTACATCAAAGAGCAGTACAATTACACCTATCACCATGTCTGGCGAAGCTTCGGCATAATCATTGGCTTTTGGGCATTCTTTATCTTCCTGACCGCGGTTGGATTTGAATTGCGCAATAGCAGCGCCGGGTCCTCTGTCCTTCTCTACAAGCGAGGCGCCAAGAGCAAGAAGCCAGACGAGGAGAGCAACGTTTCGGCCAAGTCTGAAGGGGCCGTCCTTGCGCAGTCTGGAAAGCAGTCCACGTTTACATGGAACAACCTTGACTATCACGTTCCTTTCCATGGCCAGAAGAAACAGTTGCTGGACCAGGTGTTTGGATATGTTAAGCCGGGTAACTTGGTGGCATTGATGGGATGCTCTGGTGCGGGAAAGACTACGTAAGTGCTATCAAACGGTGACACAATGATGCAAAGCTGATTGATAAAGATTGCTCGATGTATTGGCTCAGCGCAAGGATAGTGGTGAGATCTACGGATCCATCCTGATCGATGGTCGGCCACAAGGTATCAGTTTCCAGCGCACCACCGGCTACTGCGAACAGATGGATGTTCATGAAGGTACCGCGACCGTGAGGGAAGCACTGGTCTTCTCCGCTCTTCTCCGCCAACCTGATAGCGTACCACGCGAAGAGAAGATTGCCTACGTTGATCATATTATTGATCTCTTGGAGCTCGGCGACATCCGGGATGCTTTGATTGGAGGTATGTGACGGATCCCAACAAAAACTTATTCGGATACTGAAAATATAGTTCCCGGGGCTGGTTTGAGCATCGAACAGCGGAAGAGAGTGACACTGGGTGTTGAACTAGTCGCTAAGCCAACGCTTCTTTTCTTGGATGAACCGACCTCCGGTCTTGATGGACAGTCCGCTTACAACATTATCCGGTTCCTGAGAAAGCTCGTCAACAGTGGTCAGGCTGTGCTGGTAAGTCTGTCCATCTTTGCATATTCGCAGCATCTCACATCTTTCAGTGCACCATTCATCAGCCGTCAGCGGTCTTGTTTGATGCTTTCGACTCGCTAGTGCTGCTTGCCAAGGGCGGAAAGATGACCTACTTCGGAGAGAGTAAGTTTGTCGCCTGCCTGTCCAGACTCAATCTAACGTTTTTTAGCTGGCGAGGAGTCTCACAAAGTGTTGGAATACTTTGCAAAGAACGGAGCACCCTGTCCTCCTGACATGAACCCCGCGGAACACATCGTGGAGGTTATCCAAGGTAATACTGAGAAGCCTATTGATTGGGTTGATGTGTGGAGCCGGTCTGAGGAGCGCGAGCGCGCTCTTGCAGAACTTGAAGCCTTGAACAAGGAGGGCCAATCACATGCCGATTATGTGGAAGACCAAAGCAACTTTGCAACCCCGGTTTGGTTCCAGTTCAAGATGGTGCTGCATCGCCTGATGGTCCAGCTATGGCGGTCACCGGTAAGTCCTTATATCACCGTTGACTGGGGCCACCAACTAACAAGGATAGGACTACATGTGGAACAAGATCATCCTGCACGTCTTCGCCGCGCTGTTCAGTGGATTCACCTTCTGGAAGATGGGAGATGGAACTTTTGCGCTACAACTTCGACTGTTTGCGATTTTCAACTTCATCTTCGTTGCCCCGGGATGTATCAACCAGATGCAGCCGTTCTTCCTGCACAATCGTGATATCTTCGAGACCCGAGAGAAGAAGGCAAGTCCTGTGAGCAGCATCATCAGTAACACCAGCTAACTGAACCAGTCTAAAACCTACCACTGGATCGCATTCATCGGCGCCCAAGCTGTTTCGGAAATTCCGTACCTGATTGTCTGCGCCACGCTCTACTTCGCATGCTGGTACTTTGTTGCCGGATTGCCCGTTGATGCGTACATCTCTGGTCACATGTACTTGCAAATGATCTGTAAGTAGCCTCCCGTTACAATATTGAGCAAAACTGACCAATATAGTCTACGAGTTCCTGTACACATCGATCGGACAGGCCATTGCGGCCTACGCTCCCAACGAGTACTTCGCCGCCATCATGAACCCCATCCTCATCGGCGCGGGTATGATCGCTTTCTGTGGTGTCGTTGTGCCCTACGATAGTATCACCCCCTTCTGGCGGTACTGGATGTACTACCTGGACCCCTTCACCTACCTGGTCGGTGGTCTTCTGGGTGAGGTGCTCTGGGATGTCAAGGTGCAATGTGAACCTTCGGAATATATTCAGTTCAACGCCCCGTCCGGACAAACGTGTGGTCAGTACATGGCCGATTTTATCTCCGAGCAGACGGGCTACCTCCTGGACGCGAATGCCACCGGCACTTGCTCGTTCTGCCAGTACTCGATGGGTTCGGACTATGCCAAGACCTTCAACTTGAAGGAGAAGTACTACTCGTGGAGAGATGTAAGTGTATCCCTGGTGAGAGATGAGACTAAATGCTGATCGATACATTGCAGACTGGAATTACAGCGTTGTTCTGTATCACTTCGTACGGACTGGTGTTCTTGATGATGAAGTTGCGGAGCAAGAAGACCAAGAGTGCACGGTCGGAGTAGACCACATGATAAGAGGTGTTGATGTAAATAGGGGGAGGGGGCATTGATCGGAAGAGCTAGACAGGCATTATTTGGGTACATAGATTTTGGATGATACACCGACTGGATGCAGTCATATAGATACTATTTGTTATACTAGAGTTTAATACAGCATCGCATGGTTTATTTCCATCACATCTTTTCCCTTTCGACCTGAACTTGGTGGCTGGCACAAGTAGTATGACTTTTAGAAGTAGGAAGGGCAGTGTGAACGCGAAAAATATCTGTATTGAAATGAGCAGATTAAAAGTCGAAGCGAACAGGAGTTTTGTCCGCCATGCTAGATTTTTATCGAAATTGTCGGAAGAACCAACACCAATCTGAAGATCATCATGTGTCTCTTCCTCTCTAAAATATGATATTATACAAAGTATATAGGCATAACACAAGTATATAATCCAACCACCAAACAACAATTCCAAACCAAAACCCAGGGTATATATATAACCAAACCAAACTCCCAAACCATAAAAAGCATCCATCAAAACCTAAACCTCGGCGTATCGACCTGCGACCTCACATACGCGACATCCACCAACCTGCCCAAAATCACATACTCCAACTTCAACTTAATACTATAAACCAAAGCCTTGAACGTCACCTGGAACGTAAAAAACCCGGCATACTGAATCCCCACGACCGACAAATCCAAGACAATAATCACCACATTCACCAGCAACAACTGGACCAACACAGTCCTGGACAACTCCCCACTATCCATGCGCAACATCCTCGCCGTCTCCCGTATATACAGCCCCGAGAGCAACAACTCCTGCGCACAGAACCATACCAACTGTATGCGCTCCATGATCCCAAATGCCACATTCACAGGCTGAGAATCCGGCATCGCATTAACCGCTAGTTCCAGCCCCTCGCTCGAGCAATGTAGTAGCACTCCGTCGAAGATAATCAGGTAGAGGAGGCCGCGCAGGAGTTTCTTCTGATGTAGCACGAGGTGCAGCCGGGACCAGAGAACGAGGGACTGTCCGGTGACCATGCCGGCCCAGCCGACGCCGACTATGGAGATCTCGAGGAAATAGTTGGTGAAGGTGAGACCGAACATTTTGAGCAGGTAGCCGAGGCTGAAGGGAATGATGGAGAGGGAGGCGATCAGGAGGGACCAGAAGTAGGTGCCGGTGTAGCGTTTGAAAGTGTTGAGACAGAGGATGACCAGCTCGATGGCATTGCACCATGAGAGGGCGATGAGGATAGGGAAGACATATTCTTCGACGGTGGTGTTGAGATGTCGGGTTAGGCCGGAGGGGGATTGGGTTGCCGCGTCGTCAAGGGTGAAATGGGGCATTAATGGGAGGCATTGATTGGGGAGAAAGGCAGCAGAGGTTATTTATTGATGGATGGAAGGGAGGCGATGAGGGTAGGTGGTGGTGGAGATAGGGAGGGTTACACAGCACAGCATAGCAGTTGTAATGTAATGAGGCGAAGTTGGTAATCATAGAGTTCGTCGCAAAGTTGTGGCACCCGATCTGGCAGGCAGAAGGAACGGCTGTGATTTGATCGAGAACGGCCAATTGCGTCATGGATGTCGGCAGTTGAGGCGGTTGTCATGCGCTTATTGGTTGGAGATACAGGGATTGCGGATAATACAGCCAATAGAAATGAACGTAGACTGCTAATCTCTCCTTATTTTGACTAGCTGCGTCGGTTAAATAGAAGATGCTAATTGGTGGAGTAATCTAGTCGGAACGGTTCTGCCCGATAAGGCAACCCCTGATATTCGGCCATTATTCCTGACGGCCCGGTAATTTTGGGGATGTGTTTGTCTTGTTTGTCTTGTTTGATCAGGGACACGTCGCGTTGCTCATTTGGGATCGCTCTTTCCTTACTGCCTGCAGACGCGATAGTCATGGCCATGCTGCGGCAAGTATAAGGCTGAGATTGCCGACAGCTGCATCGGCGGCTACTGTCTCTCATAGCAACAGCAGTCAATCACGTACGGAGCTCTTCCCCGCCATTACCTCAATGGAGCCGGGGACCAACAATCATTCTTCCTCACCGGTTCTGCTGCCCCTCAAACTTCCACCCCCGACGTGTCAGCAGGCGTGACAGTCATGCTTCCCACCAAGAGCTTGGATTTGACCGGGCGGAAGCCTCTGTATCGCCTCTCCGCTACTCCGGCGCCTCCTACCACTCCACATGCTCCGAATACAAAGCCCGCGGCTCAAACACCGACACATCCTCCGGCACCGCAGTACCAGCCATGGCAGCAAACGCCTCCCCACCCATATCCGGCCCCGTCACCTCATGGACAGTCTCCGCAGGTCCTCTCCCCTTATAGCGAAGCCACTCATGGCGCCGACATGCAGGCTGCGCGACGGCGCGGACGGATGCTATTCGAAAACGAGCTCATCATTCTCTTCAAAGGCTGTATCGAGCGAAAGGACATGTACCTGACCAACCTGAACCGAAGCGTATTCTGGGACAACGTGGCGGGGTACATGAACAGCTTCACGGGTCGCAATTTCTCGCCCCCATCCTACCAGCAGATCGTGACGGACCGAAGCATTGAGCGTCGGACGCATCGACGCGACATCGCGACTGGAAAGGTCCACGCGGAGCCACCCAACGCCCTCACGACCGTGATAGATCAGTGGATTGCGATGGAGGATGAGATGTTGAAGCAAACGAGCGATAACGAGGCTACGTCGCATAAACGGCCCGTACCGGACGATTCTAGTACGCAGGATGCCAACCAAGCTAAGCGTTTGCGACCGGAGACGGCAGATACTTCCCACGTCACCCCTTCGAGTCCTTCGCAGGCACGTCGTGAAGTGGATGGGAACAGTCTTGCTCGGGCTTTGGTGCAAGAAGTTCGAGATCTACGACGAGAGATGGGAGAAGTCCATCGGAAACTGGACTTGGTCTTGGAGGCGCTTGAGGGGATGAAGGAGAAACCGGATAACGTGGAATCAGACAAAAGATGATCATGTGTGGGGTTTTTGTTGTTGAGCTCGGACAAAACTGCCGTTTGAGGGAGTGAGAGGCATTGAATGAAAGTGGCTGCTCGGTCGGTCGTTGCGAACAGCCGAGACCGCTCAGCCCCTCCTTCCCCGCATTCAATAAGAAGATGAGGCTATTTAACTGAGCTTGACAGAAGGGATCTGTATGGGAATGATTGACGCAATTTTTTTTTTTCGGCAACGCAATCAGCTATCATGGCTCCTACATTCCGTGCAGAACAAATCGGGTCGTTGATGCGGCCCGAGGAGCTGTTGGCTGCCCGTAACGCCGCCGGACTGGGCCGCATCTACACGCGAACCAACGTGCCGGAGGATGTGCAGCAGGTGACAAAACAGGCGATCGCCAAGGTGGTGGAGCAGCAACAGGCGCACAAGGTGCGCCCTATCATGACCGGAGAGTTTGAGCGGCCCATCTTCTATGCCGGATTCTTTGAGAACCTGGAGGGTTTCGAGTTGACCAAGGTCCCCATCCCCGAAGGCTACCGCACGGGGCTTCCGACCGTGCAGACGCTCGAGAAGCTGGGCATCAAGGAACGGGATGCCTGCGTGGCTGTGGGAAAGATCCAGCACGTGCGCAGCCCGTACCTGGCCGACTGGGAGCACCTGCGGAGTCTGGTGCCACAGGAGCAGTGGAAGGAGTGCAAGATGAGCATGCCGTCTATCACTTGGCAGCACCAACATTTGCGCGGGGGGGCCGCCTTCACAGCCTCTAGTCCGTACACGACTGACAAAGAGTACTTTGCAGACCTTGCAAGGGCCTTTGCACGGGAGTACCAGGTCCTTTACGACGCGGGACTGCGCTCCATTCAGGTTGACGATCCGGCCATGACATTCTTTGTCACGGATGAGATGCGATCGGGATGTCTGGTGGATGGGATTGACCCGAATGAACTGCTGGACCTGTATATTTGGGCGCACAACGAAAGTCTCCGGGACCGACCCGCAGATCTTCATGTCGGAGTGCACCTCTGTCGGGGCAATATGCCCGGGTCAACGCACGTACTCAGCGGGTCGTATGAGCGCATCGCGCGACGCATGTTTACTGAGCTCGAATACGACACGTTCTACCTGGAGTATGACACGGAGCGCGCAGGAGACTTCCAGCCGCTGCGGCATTTGCCGGTGGACAAGAACGTGGTGCTGGGAGTGGTGTCGACGAAGGCACCGGAATTGGAGACGGTAGAGGAGCTGCAGGCGCGGGTGTATGAAGCGGCGGATGTGATTGCACAGGGGCAAGGCCGGAGTCGGCAAGAGGTGCTTGATAGCTCGCTTGGAGTGAGTCCGCAGTGTGGCTTCTCGAGTGTGAGCTATGGTCGGGGAATTGGAATGACGGAGGAGCGCATGTGGGAGAAGCTGCAGTTGGTGCAGAAAGTAGCCGAGCGGGTGTGGCAGTAATCTGGAGTAGTGTGTATGCACTTCACTATATTCGAAATGTACCGGATACTATTTAGTGTTGAAGAATGCGTGACCGTCAGGCACAGCAGATTACATGACCCACAATTGCTGTCAAGTACCATGGCATGCTGACCTGCACGTGGCCAGATTGTTGGGTTCCGGATATCCGCGATGATCCTTAACCAATTTATTCTTGTGCATAAATGCGGGATTTTGGGTGGATGAATTCCCGCACGGCAACTCTGTCCAGCCGAGCTTGAAATGAATCTGACCAGTCAGTCAGCCGTCTATTAATTTGACTGGAATCTATATAGCTGGGGCCTGGCACGGGCTTCTTATCCATCTACTAGTAGCACTACTACCTCACTTTACCCGCCAATCAAGCCTTCCCTTCCCACCATGCACTTCCCCCTGGCAGCCCTGACTCTGCTTCCCCTCGCCACCCACGCCATTAACATCCTCTCCTCCAACGACGATGGCTGGGCCGAGCTCAACATTCGCACTTTGTACGATGCGCTCACTGCCGCCGACCACTCGGTGGTGATATCCGCTCCTGCAGAGAATCAAAGCGGATCTGGTACTTTCTATACCTAAAACCTTGCCTTATTATCACTTCAACGAATCAAAAAGCTGATTCATACAGGCTCCAACGACGCAACACCCACTGTCCTCACCTCCCCCTGCGAATTTGACTCCTGTCCTAGCGGCAGTCCCGCCGTCGGCCACAATGCCACCCAACCACGCTTCAACTACGTCAACAGCTACCCAGCGACCTCCATGAAATACGGGCTCAACAACCTCTCCTCCACCTACTTCTCCGGCTCTCCCGACCTCGCTGTCGCTGGCCCCAACGTAGGCGCCAACATCGGTCTAGCCGTTTTCTTCTCCGGCACCGTCGGCGCAACCACCTACGCCGCCAACCAAGGCATTCCCGCTATTGCTTTCTCCGGCTACACTGGTTCCCAGATCGCCTGGAACGTGAGCAGCGTTCCCACGTACAGCACCGTATATGCGCAGCTGGCGACAAAGCTGGTAGATGAGTTGGTGGAGTCCGGAACGCCGTATCTGCCCACGGGCGTATGGTTGAATGTGAACTTTGGGGCTGTGAGCGATGATAGTTGTACGAGTGCGGATGATTTCAGCTTTGTGCTGTCGAGAATTTTTACGGCGATTCCATTGATCACGGCGGATGATGTGGAAACCTGTAATAGTACGAGGTTGCCCACCGAGTTGGACGTTATGCTGCACAGTGGATGCTGGGCGAGTGTGTCGGTGGGTATGGCGGGAGATAAGCTGGATGCGAACGCGACAGTGCAGGGCGTGGTATTGGAGAAGCTGGGGGGATTGTTGACCTGTCTCGATTGATTCCACTATTTCCAGAGGTGGATTGTAAATAGTACTACGTAGTACATAGTATATAGTCAGTATAGTATAATAGGCGGAGTAGCATGTGCAGCCCTATATCCGCATATACGCCTGCAGGATGCGTGGTCCGAACACATGCCATTATTGGCTGAAAATACGCCCTCCGACATTCCGTGTCTATATGTTAATATGCGTTACTATTAATCTATTCTACTTGGTATTCCCCTCACTGCCCTGAAACTACATGATCCTGCCGAACATTCTCCGTTCCAACATCCTCCGTGCCTGTCAGCAACTATCACCCGGATACGCGCATCCAGCTGATCCTGCACAGGAATAGGCATAACCCCCGAGCAGCTACCACATGCTCTATTCTCCCGACTATTGCCCTATTGGCCCACCGCTTCCGTTCCTCTGCAGATCTGAAGATACTTGCCTATAGTAGAGATGGACATAAAAGGAGCTCCCCTTCCCCCTCATCCTCATGGGAACATTCTACAAACCAAACATCCAAGAAGAATTAATTAATTAATAAATAAAAAAGAAAGACATCGACAAAATGTCCCTCCGCACCCTCCTCCTCGCCGCATCCACCCTCTCCGCCACAACATCAGCAGCAGCAACAGCAAGCAAACATCGTCTGCACGCGCGCGACTGGATCGCCAGCGATGAAATCGTCGGCTTCAACCAGACCGTCCCGGACAACTCCACCGGCGACCTCTACCTCGCCTACCAGCCCTACCTGAAGGTCGTGAACGGATGCGTCCCGTTCCCCGGCGTTGACGCCGAAGGCGATACCGAGTATGTCCACCCTCCCAGCTACCTACCACCTTATATCCCAACCAATACATCCTAATGTCTGAAAAACAATGATAGTGCCGGCCTAGCCCCAACCGGCGCCAGCGACGGCGACTGCAGCTCCAACACAGGCCAAATCTACGTGCGCAGCAATATCTCTTCCAGCAGCACCACTAGTGAATACCCAACAGCATTACTATACAGCTGGTACATGCCCAAAGACGAACCCAGCGACGGCCTGGGCCACCGCCACGACTGGGAAGGGGTTATCATCTACCTCTCTGATTCTACTACCGTCTCCGCGGATAATATCCTGGCTGTGTGTCCGTCCGCGCATGGCGGGTGGGATTGCTCCACGGATGGGTATACGCTTGATGGTACGAAGGCGCTGATTAAGTATGAGAGTATCTGGCCGTTGGATCATAGTTGTGGGTTGACGGATGTGGTGGGTGGGACGCAGCCGCTTGTGGCGTGGGAGAGCTTGACTACGGCGGCGAGGGATGCCTTGCAGACGGCGGATTTTGATAAGGCGATTGTGCCGTTTAAGGATAGTACTTTTGATGAGAATTTGGCGAAGGCTACTTATTGATTAGGGATAGGGGTATGACGAGAGGGAAGGGGTGTATATAGTGGTATGGGTAGGGTTGTGGGTAGTATATATGGAAGATTTATATGTCAGATGATAGTCAGTCACTGTGAGGAGTATTTGTTGAGTTCAGTGAGAGACTTGATGTAAAGAGAGGTTGTTTATGTGAAGGGTTCCAATTGTGGTTAGGAAAATAAGCTAGTGGATTTATAGTTTCTACTAGGTTTAGGTTACTGTTTATGTTTGTTCTGGAAGAATATGAGGCAAGTCAAGTTATTTAATACACTAAACAGCATAGACTAGCTATGACTGACAAGAGTAGAACTGTAAGAGTAGCTAAGTAATAGCTACTTAAGCACTAGCAATGCACTGGTAGTAGTAAGGGTTGTAGGAGTGGCAGCTAGATCCGCTAGCGCACTGAGTAGCACCAGTCCAGTTGATACCACCGCACTGGCCGTACATAGACTGGCTACCGGAGCTACCGGAAGCAGCAGAGCTGACAGCAGGAGCAGGGGTGATGGTCGACTGAGCAGGCTCGGGCTGGACCGAGGTAGTGGGCTGCACAGCCTGGGGGGTGTTGGTGAAGGTCAACAGGGTAGTCCAAGAGGAGGGAACCTGCACGGGGATCTGAGTGTAGGCGGAGGAGCTGGAGCTGGGGGCAGCAGCGGCAGGGGCACTGCTGGACTGAGCGACCTGGGTGTTGGTGTCAACGCTGGTCACGGCGGCAGCGCTGGTAGCGGCGGCAGCGGTGGAGGAAGCGGAAGCGACGGCGCTGGCGCTGCCAACGACGGCAGTGCCGGTGGAGGTGATAGCGGAGGTAGTCTGGGTGATGGAGACGGCGCCGCTGTAGGCAGTAGGGCCGGGGACGGTGTAAGTGGTCAGGGTGGAGTAGATGTTGACGAGGATGCCATTCTCAGTGGCAGTGTAGAGCTCGGTACCCTTGACACCGGAGGGAGTGGCAGTACCGGTACCGGTGACCTGGAGGTTGAAGCACTGGGGGTAGTTCTGGGCGCCATCCTCCTCCTCAGCGCCGTGGAGAGCGATGAGCTCGTGACGGAGGACGTAGTTGCCGGCGGCGATGGAGGGAGGGATCTCGACCATCCAGCTGTTGTTGTTGTTGATCAGCTGGTCAGTACCCCAGGTGCCGGGGACCTCGGAGTCGCTGATGAGACCGACACCGTCGATCTTGAAGAACTCCAGATCGGTCTTGTCGACGGTCTCGCAGCTGCCGTCGCAGCGCGCCAGGTAGTCCAGGACGGGACCGTGGTGGGAGTCGGGCCAGGCGGTCCACTGGATGTTGATCTTCTCACCGGCACCGACGACAACGTGGGCCTGGGCGTTTGTGGCGTTCTCGTGGCAGATGATGTTAGGGTCGCGGTAGGCATCGGGCGAGATGAAACCGTTGCCGGTGTTGGGGGTCGTCCAGGCGGCGACCTTCGGGGGGTCGGACTCGTAGGGGAAGACGCTGATGTCGAAACCCTCGTAGTAGACACCGTCGACGACGAGGTTGGTGACGTGACCGTGGGCAGCGACCTGGGTGGCCGACAGAAGGGCCGCGAGGAGAGAGGCAGACTGAGCTTGACGCATGATTGCTAGAGTGGTTTGGAGAAGAAGGAAAGATTGGTAGAGAATGTAATGTAATGAAATGTAGAGTTGTAAAGAGTGAGCGCGCAGCGCAAAGAGTGTGAAAGCCTCAATCAATGAAGCGGAAAGCAACGAAGGGAATGATTGAAGAGAAGACTTGCTTGAGGAGGAAAAGAAAAAACAGCAACATGGTCGAGGAGCAGCATGGCTTTTAAGTCTTCGTGTCGCCCTGTCAATATTCGGCGATGCTTTACCTGTGTCATATCTCAAACCACCGCTGGAGCCATGACACCCACCCAGGAGTCTGGTCTGACCACCGCCCTAGATAGCGGGTCCGAACTGGGCTCTTGGGAAGCGCCGTAGCAATTAAGGTGAGGGCAAACGGCGGTAGGGCAGGGGCAAGTGTTCCAGATCCGTCTGATATTAAGGCTATTGCCCGACTAGGGTCTTGGCTGTCGGAGAGTTTCCACTTTTGCCTCACAACAACCTTCTGTCACCATCTGTCGAGCATGTTCTTGTCGGTTTCACTCAGAATTCGCTTATCATGAAGAAGCTTTTCTCAATCAAGAGTTCAAGAACAGTTGTTCAACAGGTAAAGAACGCTGCCAGTGTGGTTAAAAATAGTAGCAGATGCCCGCCGCCCACTGCGGATCCGGCACTAGCCACCGAAGAACTAGTGTATCCCTAACTGGATGATAGCTCATCCGAGTAATGCTGGTCCAGACTCATATAAATTAACTCTTCCCTGACTGGTCGTCCCCACCAATTACGCCCCTTGATGCTGAATAGCCGCCGTTCCTGCAGCACTCAGTCCCTGCCAATTTTCCACAGACGCCCGCCACCACATTCGGGTGCGAAATCTCTGAGTTCTCCAATGACAACCAGTAGTGGACCATCGTCTTGCTTAGATGCTTGTATAGATGGAGCGTATTCGTCAGCAAAAGCCTGTTGCTTCGCCGAGTTTGGTCGCGCTTTGACCGGCCAGGGTCCACGTCGGAGTCTGCTCCGTGGAGGCACAGCTGTGTACGGAGTACCCTACACTAATTTGCAGTCCCTGATCGCGGAGGTGTATAACGGTTGTGCCATCACCATAGCATACCAACACAACCTCAACTACAGCAAATACGACGCTGTAAAACCAAGACCGTGCGACTACCAAGCAACTTTAAGATCATTAAAGAATTAACCTTAAGTGAGACATAACGGTAACGTTGAATGACTCGCCATGGTAGTGAGCCCTTGGCAAACCGGATCGCGGGTGGGCCCTGAAACATACCTGTTTATTAAAGGCGGCCGCAGCGTCAACATACATCCTTTGCACAGCCTGCTTTCGTGATGTAGCCCTGGCCGGAATCGCAGCCCCCTTAGTAAGCGGGGGTGCGCGGTATTGAACTAAAATGGGATGCTTGTAAGGCTGTCTTTAGCTAGATTTGCTGGCATCGGATGTTCGGGTCGGATATAAGGGTATATTGCAGGGGCTCTGGCAAGACTCGGAGCGGGGATCCGACCTCGCTCGAGGGAAATTATTGGCTGTCGCATGCATCATCAGTATTCCAAGGAGGATTTAAGCGCCATGTTCACGACTGATCATATTACTGCAACGACTTCATTATCACGCGGTACCTGGAGGATACTGCCCAACGTATCAATATTATCAAGCATGAAAAACAGTACCAACGCGGTCTGAGGATAAAACGAGAATTGTAGCAAAGAGAAACGAGAAAAAAGAAAAGCGAACGACTAGACAGGAAAAAGGCAAAATAAAAGAACAAACTACCACTCCCAATCACTCGTTGACCCATCCCAGTCCGGCCCCGGGGGACGGGGGCACTTGGCCAGGCCCCAAGCGAACCACACCGCAGGAGACCACTTTTTCTTCTTCATATTAGTCGTCGCCATATAGAAGCCAACTATGAAACTTCGTATACACATAAGCGTATTAGCAACAGCCTTTTCTTCGGGTTGCATTCCATGGTCAAGGACTTACAGAGTAGACGACTCTTCGTCCCAGACGAGGTTGGACAGCCTGCCACCAAGAGGCATATAGCCCCATTTAGAAAGCTGTCTGTAGCTTATGTCAGTCCAAGCCAGACGCACATGATGGAAGTAAGAGAAGGAAGGAAGGGAGACGAACAGAAAGTTGTTTTTGAAGTGCTCCCGGACGATCTCCCTTTTATCTCGTTCCATCCTCCAGAAACCACAGTATTCGTCCCCACCCTCTGTACCCAGTTGTTCCCCAGCAACTACCTCCCAGGCTACATAGACTAGGAAGCCACCAGGGACAAAGCCTGAGTCGTCCTGGGTGGTGTTTTTGGAGTCCAGCAGGCGCGGCGTGAATCTGGAGCGCTTGTTGGTAAGGGCACGGAGAGCTATCAATTCATCCGGCTCACAGGGTTTGGCTTGCTTGGAGCGAACAGCTGCTGGCTCAGCCTCGGTACCAGCGGCTGGAATTTGTTTATAGATCCTTATGTGTGATTTGATATTCCCATCTGTCTACTCACAAATGAGTCGAATTGTGACGTCGGAGGCGGGAGGGTGGCCTGGGCTGCCTTGGTCCTTAGAATAATGCGAGATGTGCTCCTCACACGCCTGAACGACGGTCCACGACTTCTCCATCTCGATAACTGCACCAGGACTTATTTCCGACTCCGAGAACCAGTGAGAAAGCATGATTGATATGTTTTAGATATCAACAGACTTCAGTTTGATTGAGCGAAATTGAAAAGCGGACTGAAGATTGAGGTACCTCGGCGTTTATAGCATAAGGGCTAACACATACGGAAGATGGAAGTCCAGATAACGGAGTCAAATAGGGAAACACTCTGCTTCCAGAAAATCCACTCAAAATATTATGAATGGTAGACAACCCTCTTAACATGTTAATGAGGTTAGAGTGGCGTCACCAAAGTAGCACGGCAGAGCCCAAATCCTCGGGTACAACGGTCGGGGCTACAAGTGACACTTCCCGAATACCCTGGGACCGGACCGATGTCCGTTTCTCTGTGTACTACAATCTGCAAGACGATAAAAACAGACGGTTCACCGAGGCAAAGGCGGATGATGGACTCAAGGGCTTACTATATCGAACTTACAACGATCCTGAGGTTTTGCAAGACAGGAATGTGGGCGCGACGAGCATGAGAGCATTAAACAAGCCCGTTGTGCATAACCTTGGGGATGATGGGCTCTCGGATAACCAAATCGCAGTTATTGCCATTGATTCGCTCGTCACTAGTAAGGTAGGAAATTGGGCGCGCAAGGACATGCGGTTGGGGACTCCAATGACCGCACTTTGTAAGGTCAAAATGTGGGTGGGCTCACCGAATATGTGGTTGAGGGGTTGCAGTCAAAATACGCCTAGGAAAGGTGGGAAGACCCTAAGCCATTATTATTTCCAGTCTTTAGTCCTAAGATCTTCCAAACATGGTGCTCACTAGTTTGACCTAGCCCACCTCAGAACTCGAAACGAATGATGGGGCGTAAGGGATATCACTCAAAACCTAGTATACTATATTTTAACCAAAATATCTCTAACTCAGACTCCTTGCAGGTCTTGAACTCCGTGACATGCAGTAGAGGTAGCAGATAGTCTAACACATCGCACTCAACTCAGGAGACACCAGCGCTTCGATGAACCACCATGTGAAACTTTGCCAACGAAAGATGACCAGCTAGTGATTTCTCGCGTCCCAAAATTGAAGCTGTATCGCTAGGCTACCGTTTTATTTCTTGCGTTGGAATAAAAGAGCCTACAGCCCTAGAAAGGTAATTGAATATGAATCCATCTGACAACATGGAGACTCTGTGCGCTTCTCAGATGACCTAAGTGGACACCTAACCGGCTTGGAGATAGGCTCATTCCATCGTTTGCAGCGAATCCTGACTCAACCGACCATCGATTCGTTCTTGGTCGAGGTGCTCAGACGGTTCTCTCTGGGCGCCAAGCTGCCGAGAGTCATTCAAGCCAGCGGAGGTTGCCAATTTCTCCGCCGCACAGCGGGTGAGATCTGGGGAGGCAGTTTTGTTTCCATGTTGCCGCGCAGATATCCCCGATTACACCAGCTGGTCGGCCAAGACCGAGCGGGGCGGTTACACTCTATTACTCGTACTCTCCACTAAGGTCACGCCTGTATGACGCCTCCTGCAACAGAGTTACAAGCCACGCCTTCCCCAGCCTTAGGAACCGCTTTCAGTGCCCCTCATTCTTGGCATGAGTTTCTAGTGAACTCAAATCGGGAATGGGTATCGACTGAGTGACCACCTCGGAGGCTGTCTGTGTGGATGTGCGAGGCATCCAAGATCTCGGCATATGTAGTCCAAGACAATCGCAGTTGCGTTCATTGAAGTCCAGATTTCTTGGGTAGGATCCGTGAGACCGAGTACTGAAGCCTTAGGATGAGATTGGCTGTAGCATGAACGAACCCGAAGTTATACTTTGACGCGAATGGAACGAGTCATTTCGGCTAGGATGAGCCCAATAGACAGAAGGGTTCATGTCTTCATTGACACCGGGTACAAATAGGCCATCCTGACCCGGGTACCTTTCGTTAAGGCACGGTGCACCCTGTTCTACTTGGAATATCCATAAAAGACCTCCGTATCTAGACCTCCCTAGGGCTGCATTACCTAATATCATTATGGATGACAAAAAAGGCGACCTGGAGAATCCTACCTCGACGGTTCATCACCTTGAATCACCTACCTTTAATGACAAGCAAGATCCAGAGGTTGCTCGAGACTGGACACGCGATTTGACCGAGAGCAAGAATGTCACCACATCCACAAGGTTGAAGAATCCACTTGCTGGCCTGACGCGTGATGAACTATTTCGAGATGTCGAGTCATTTGCAAGGGACAAGGGTTTGGAGCATATCATGGATGAGCTGAAAAGAGGCTCCCTCGTAGCCCAAGATCCTAAGGGCTTCGAGTCCCTTGATGAATTATCCGAAGGGGATAAAGAACTGCTTCGACGTGAGAAGACACATCGATGGAGCCAGCCATTCATGATGTACTTCATGACTAGTACGTCTTCTCTAATACAGACTGGCACAGACGGGATGTTAACAACATACTAGTTCTTTGTGCTGGGTCCGCAATTGTCCAGGGCATGGACCAGACGGCAGTTAATGGAGCACAAGAGTAAGTGATACACTGTGAGATGCCTTTTCTATAAACTGAGTATGGTCAGGTTCTACTTCGCCGAATTCAACCTCACCAATAGATGGCAGCAAGGGCTCCTCAATGGAGCTCCATACTTGTGTTCTGCACTTATAGGATGCTGGACAACCGCTCCACTGAACCGTTGGTTTGGTCGTCGTGGATGCATCTTCATCTCATGCTTCATATCCTTTGCCTCGTCCTTTTGGATGGCTGCGGCACACACTTGGTGGAACCTGCTACTGGCCCGATTTCTCCTCGGTTTTGCAGTAGGCGCTAAGTCAACAACAACCCCGGTATATGGTGCGGAATGCTCTCCTGCCATCATTCGTGGTGCGTTGGTTATGATGTGGCAAATGTGGACCGCGTTTGGGATTATGCTAGGTTACATTGCTTCAGTTGCCTTCATGGATGTGACACACCCCACAATTCCCGGTTTTAACTGGAGATTGATGCTGGGCTCAACTGCCATCCCGTAAGCTTAGTCATACCCACCTAAATCACAGGCCCTAGTTGTGCTAATCCCGTCGAGTCCCTTCTTCGTGTGTATGCAGGTGTACTTCTGCCCCGAGTCACCCAGATGGTATATGATGAAGAATCGCTATCAGGACGCTTACAAAGCACTTTGTAAGCTCCGCCCTTCCGCGTTTCAGGCGGCCCGCGACCTCTACTATATCCACACGGCGCTACAGGTGGAGGAAAAGCTCCGGGAGGGCAAACACCTCTGGCGCGAGATGTTTACCATCCCACGCAATCGACGAGCAGCACAGTCCTCGTTTTTTGTCATGTTTATGCAACAATTCTGTGGGGTGAACGCTTTAATGTACTACAGCTCGAGCATTTTTGCAAATGCGGGGTTTGATAGGCGTATGGCGTTGGTGACGTCGTTGGGATGTGGTATAACGAACTGGATATTCGCTCTGCCGGCAGTATATACGATTGACACGTTTGGAAGGCGGAATCTGCTCCTCACCACATTCCCATTGATGAGCCTGTTTCTACTCTTCACCGGCTTTTCATTCTATATCCCGGATCAGACTTCGCGGACGGCTTGCGTGGCGACAGGCATCTATCTTTTCATGATCGTGTACTCCCCAGGCGAGGGACCAGTACCTTTCACGTACTCTGCTGAGGCATTTGTAAGTCAATGTGTTTTAAACGTTGAGAAGGGTTCTTGCTAAACAAGACACAGCCACTTTATATCCGTGATGTAGGCATGTCCTTTGCGACGGCAACCACCTGGGGTTTCAACTTCATTGTCTCATTGACGTGGCTTCCATTACGGGACGCCTTCAGTCCACAAGGCGCATTTGGCTGGTATGCAGCATGGAACGTCTTCGGATGGATCTTCTGCTACTTCTGTCTGCCTGAGACCAAAGCATTGTCGCTCGAGGAACTGGATCAGGTCTTCTCGGTTCCCACGCGAAAGCACGTCAATCACTATGCAGGGATGCTGCCGTGGTATGTAAGGAAATACATCTTGCGAGGAGATGTGCCGCCTCAAAAGCAGTTGTATGATTATGAGTAGATGGGAAAGCAGTGAAGGTCCGAACGGCAGAACCAATACATTTCGTGGGTATTTGTGCCAAGATCGGCTCACAGTGAACCAAGGGCATGCACCATGTAGATTATACCCTTTAGTATCATGCACACGTCACTCGGCTTTGATTTCCATGCTCGATGCTTCGTCACAATCCCTGTCCAGACAGAATATTACAATAGTACTTAATTCTTCAATCATCACACAAGATAATCTATCCAGTTTTCTTTCATAACTGCACAATCAAATATTACACTTACTGATTAGCTGGCTCCCCCCTCTTCAAAGATGTCTCCACCGTCGATAGAAGACAGGCCAAGCCATGACACGATGTCAATCATTTGTCCGTCCGACTTCAAGATTATTGTCACACGAAATTACCAATACTCAAAGGATAGGACGTACAAGAAGGCAACGTTCAACGTTGACCATGCAACACTTCTCAACTCGACATTTTTTCGAGGCTGGTTGGATAAGTTCAGGTTCTCTATGAAGCCCAAAGACGTCCTTGAACTCGATGTTTCCAACATTGTCACTTTTGAGATCATACTGCGCAAGCTTCATAACACTCTAGAACAGATGAGTGTAGGCGCTGTCTCTTTAGCTGACATCTGGGACCTGCCGTATTTATGCCAAACCTGTCATGTCGATTGCAAGGAATTAACACAATGGTTCAAGACATGGTGCGCTCACCAAAAGGACAAGGTCGAGCCAGGCAAAGAGCTGAGCTACTATCATGAGGTCTTAATTCCGAGTTGTGTTTATAACGATGCCGAAACCTTTGCCCAATCAACGAGGGCCGTATTATACCAGAACACTGGGCATATTACAGCGCGCATCCCTATTGAGTATAGTAAGCCTCTTGCAGCGCCTCTTACGCGTAAGTCCCGAATCTATATTGCCCTTTTTATCCTACACACTTCCAAAATCGAAGTCCTGAAATACCGTCATTGTTAACTTATGAGATGTACGGATTTAATAGGCCAATTGAACGCCGCCCGTGATCGCCTTTGCGAGATTGTCCACCAAGAGCTCTCTGGCCGCATTACGCATATCCTCCAAAGACCATTGTCACCCTGCTGTGAGCGTACCGTTTTCGAATTCCTTCGAGAGCTTCAGAGAATACAAGCCTGGCCTTTCGATAACTGCTTCACGAACCATGGAATTGACGAGCTGCTGAATCGCCTGGCCCACTTCGACGCGGACCGAATGCACAAGTACATTGATCCTGCCACGAACAGCCCAATAAATTGTGTTATGTGCAGTATGGATTGGAACACTATCGTTGAGTCCACAGTGACTCGCGTAGCTGCCTACTTTGATGGACTGTGTCTTGACTGCGCGCTGAGGACAGACGAGAACCATCCTCCTGGTGGGCAATACAACAAAAAGGACTACTGGGACTGTTCAGAAAGCTACGACCGGAATTGTCGGATCAAACACGGAGAGCCCTCATGGTACTTTAGCTTCATGGGAGAGCAGAGAGATCTACAAACAACCCCAGCTCATGCTGTTGGTCTCCCTTATCGTCTTTCGAACCAATGTTGAGTTTTATGTTTATCGCTTCTGATGGTGCTCCACCCATGTCCACTTCTAAACTTCTAACAAGTAGGTATGCCATACCTAATCCAGGTGGTGGGGAATTCTGAGGATGCTCCTGTTGTTTTGTTTTCTCAACAGCTGACAATACAAGCCTGATCTTCTTAGCGTGAGAATGTTGAAGTGAAACCTGGGTATCTGGGATTTCTTGAAATAAACTCTCATTATATCAGATTTACTACCTGGCCTATCCTGTAATGAAATTCTATAGCCTCTTTTCATGGAACCTTGGTTCCAGTAAAAATAAGTCTTATATGTATCTATTCTATATTAAGGCCAGATCATCCCTGTCACATTGATCTGCTGCAGCCTTATTGTTATAGCCACTCGCGTAGCATTGACCCATCTCTCGGAATGGTGACAGATCGGTCCATGCTATCTTTTCAAGCGTCAGCCTTCAGGTCAGGTTGTATATTTGCAGCCCATGCTTTTATTGAGATCAATATCAATTGCTTTGCTATGTACGAGTCCAATATGTCGCGATGACAAAGCCTAGCACATGCCCTTGAAAGAGAGGCTAGCCAGTTGCATACTTATCCCCACAGAAATAGAAATACTACCCGTCCACATGCATCTGAAGGGAAATGATTCATTGGCCTATCTAGTCATTCACTGTGCTTCTCCAAAAGCTGCTTCAACTACCCCTGTCTGCGCTCTCCCCTCTCAGCTACGGTCCACGAAAAGTCAATTTCCTTCCCAGCATAGTTGAAAGCCGAGATGACATTTCCTTCGCGACAAGGGCGCCAGATGAGACTAGCCGATACGTTTATATAATCCCAGCACCAGTGTCATAGTTGCATGCATCAGGGTGCTGAGGACGGTTGTGAGGGTCGCCCAAAGGCTTCTCTGTTGTGTTGGTTCCATTGTTGTAGACTGCGTAGATCGAGAAAGGGCTCGAGGCACGAAGCAGTTCTCGGAACGTAAGAACAAAGATATAGCAGGCAACTGCTTTGATAAGTAGTGCAAGGGCTTGCTCGAGCTCACTATGCATCTTTTTGTGCTATGAGTCAGGAAATATAGGCTAGGTATTATAGTCAACTCAGGATTGCGTGGAAGAGTGGTTTGTAGTGGACATGCAACAAGAGGTGTAATCAGTTAAGTGGTTGACTGTGCTTCGAGAACTTGATATTACAAATAGTTCTAAAAAGAATGCTCTAGAGGATCGCGCGGATACGCGATTGGTCGCTTCGTTAGCAGGGTTACTCTGGGCCTCTTCGATCAGAAGTCCCCGTATCTCCTCTGGACAGTATCGTCCTTATTTATTTCCTGGACCTATCGGAGGGCTGTGGCATTGTTTGAATATCTGGAGCAGGAACAGTTATTCCGATCAGACTTACTGGGACCTGATAGCGTACTCGTATAGGGAAACATTTCAATTCGCCGAGTAAAGGGAACATCAGTATCCGCGACCTTAAATGTGGGCCAAGTGAATAGCTCCGATTGGGCTCTCTTTGGGGACTGACAGGGAAGTAGATCACATCACGCAGGGACTCATCCTACTAATATAAGCACATTAGCCTCATTAAGACAGTGCATATGATTGGGGGCGCAAGGTGATCACATGGAACTGGTTAATGGTCCACTTATTCATCTATGGTTTGTGGGGAAGCAGCTGGCGACAGGGAAGGCATTCCAAGCGGAACCACCCGACGACGTAGACTTGCTCTATTGCATGGGTTTCACCGTCTCCCAACTCAACCCTACATACCGCAGCAGTCCACATAGTAGACCACCCCGGATGTTACATTGGGGTAATCTGGGGTGATAATTTAACTTCGCCTGTAATTAATTCACACTAGATGGAGTTCAACTTTGATGTTGGTGGTTTTACTGCTTTCCGAAAGAACAAATCTCTATAACCACGTCAACATTCTTAGTAGCAGTTGTGGTCAATGAAATTAGACTTTGCAAATTATATGCACCGACTCAAGCTGACATACACCTAAAGAATGCAGAAAGTAAGGCCAAGCAGGGGGAGACCCCACGCCGACGTTATCCGAATTGGGGCTTTCTAAGATAGACCACTGAACTGGGCCTTGCCTATCTCCCACCCAGTCTTCGAATTGATCAAAGGCACTTAGATTACGACAGAAGATAATGCCAACAGGTCTACATGAGAAGGTTGGATACATTCAATATCAATATCACCGGTAAAAGAAGGCTTTGGCAACATTTTAGTTCTACGGCGTGCCAAATATATTAAGCCAGACGACAAATTTTGGGTAGAAGCTATGAATGAATCGTAGTAACGGGGAGTATAGCCAGTGTCGTTGCTCTAAACGTCGATGACAATCTTTTGATATGTTGTACGTAACCTTCAGTGCTTTATGTCAGCGGTGGTATGAGCGTTCACTTACCTTCAAAAGCTAAAGGTGGTGTGCTGTAGGTCAAAGGCGATTTCATGCTCAAGTATTACTAAGTAGTGCTGTTATACATAAGAGGATGCTGATGTGAGATTTTATTAGTTACTAGTAGTAGTAAGTAGGAGGCAAGTTGTCAGAATCACGAAGGCCGAGGTAGAAATATATATTATCTGATCAAGTACTGTGAGTCGATTGCAGTCATTCCCACAGATGGTGAAACGATCCTGCGTAGTGATATCCAAGTGGGAATCCATGACTTCACCACACGAGACTGCTACTGTCCGTTAACAGATGACTCCAATGTAGTGGCGAATGTATAACTACTCAATATCTCATGATTCCAGGCTCAGCTTCTAGAAGATTTCTGGTTTCAGAATCTTTCTGCATCCCCGATCACATGATGGTGCCCCCACACCATCCCGGCAGGTCCTTCTCAATCCAGCCTAGTGTCAGGCCCTTCCGCAGGCACCGCCGGCTTGGCATAGAAGGCCATTGGTCGGGGACGGGCAGATGAAGCGGAGAGCCCCACTGAAAAGCCTCGCGAATTAGGTAATGAGATGTTCAACAGGTGTAACGTTGAACACACAAATTTGTTGTGATGCAAAGACTTTCATTCGGCCCGGCGGGTGACTCAGAAGACGGTCTTCTCGCCGGACTCGTTCATTTGTCACCGCAGTTCCTCTTGACATCTTCAGCCTGTCATTGTTGTTCAGTTTCTGCGCTAGGTTGATTGTTTGCCTGTTTGTGTCAATGTAGGAGCGGTAGGGCCGTTGACGTTGTACATCCCCAAGAAACTCTCTTCGTCGCCAGTTCTTTTTACCGTCTCCACTCCTCGTCCATTTCATTTCCCGCGGAGAGGAGAAGCAAGCTGGGATTTTCACCTTCCCGTCACCGCAGAGTCATGGCCCATCCAACTGGCGACAAGGTTGACTCCCATCTGAATGTTCAGACGGGTCAATTCTTTCAAGAGGGCCGAGAGGAACCCTATCTGCATGATGCAGAGGAGAAGCAGGACGACAAGAAGGACAGTCCCGTCTATAATGACACCTTTGGTGATGAAGAGTATGCCGAGGTTAAATATAAGGTCTTGAGCTGGTGGTATGTCTATTCAAACGTCCTATATCTGCTACCGAATAACTGACTTGAATGTGCCAGGCAATGTGGTTTCCGTAAGTGATTCTGATGCTAGCATCAGTCGACAGCTTGTCTTACTAACTTTGCCAGTCATGGTTGCGGAAACCGTGTCCCTTGGTATCCTGTCGCTGCCTGCTGTTGTCGCCACTCTGGGTCTTGCTCCGTATGTACTGAACCAGCAGCTGCTCGAAGTGATATCTTCCTCTAACTAGGTGTAGTGCTATTGTCCTCATTGTTGGCCTCGGGCTTCTGGCTACCTACACCGGTTACGTCATCGGTCAGTTCAGATGGCGCTATCCCCATGTCCAGAATCTGGCCGATGCCGGTGAGATCCTATTTGGGTCTATCGGTCGAGAGATCTTCGGTATCGGACAGCTGCTGCTCGTCATATTCATCATGGCGAGTCATCTGTTGACCTTCTCGGTCGCCATGAACACCATCACAGAACATGGAACTTGCTCCATCGTTTTTGGTGTTGTCGGTCTCGTGATCTGCTACCTCCTGGGTCTACCTAGGACGTCTGCGAATGTGTCCTATCTCTCTGTTGCTTGTAAGTTGCGAACAATGTCAGGTAGTCTCACGATACTAACTTGCACAGCTTTCATCAGTGTGTTCTCCGCCGTGATGATCGTTATGATTGCCGTCGGTGTGGAACGTCCTTACAAGGGAACCCTTGAAGCAACGGTGGATACCAGCTTGTATGAAGCATTCCTTGCTGTCTGCAACATTGTCTTCTCCTTCTGTGGGTCACTTTTTCTCCTGCATTAGCTACTCCTACTAACGTGCAATAGCGGGTCATGTCGCATTCTTCGGCTTCATGTCCGAATTGAAGGACCACCGGGAGTACCCCAAGGCCCTGTGTCTTCTCCAGGGTCTCGACACCATTCTCTACCTGGTCACTTCCGTGGTGATCTACATTTATGCGGGGCCTAATGTCACGTCCCCTGCACTAGGCTCCGCTAGTGAACTCGTGGGCAAGATAGCCTACGGAATCGCCCTCCCTACTGTACGTGCGGTGCTCATATTACCTGTGCTCTACTGACATGTGATAGATCATCATCGGTGGCGTTGTGAATGGCCATGTCGCCTGTAAATATGTCTATGTCCGTATCTTCCGTCACGGAGACCGGATGCACAGCCGTGACCTCGTGGCAACTGGATCCTGGGTGGGCATCGCTTTGGGATTGTGGATCATTGCCTGGATCATTGCAGAGGCCATTCCTGTGTTCAATGATTTGCTGAGTTTGATTGTATGCTGCCAGCCTCTTCTACTAAAGTATCTTGCTAACTGCGTTCCAGGCGTCCCTTTTCGCTAGTTGGTCTACATGTGAGCGCATTATTCCCTTTCATTCGTCGTATTCACACTAACAGCAAATAGTCGGCTTCAGCGGCATGTTCTGGCTCTACCTCAACAAGGACCGACTGTTCTCTTCGCCTAAGAAGATTGCACTG